CAGCAGTGCTGCTACCTGACGGAGACAGTTCAAGCGATCATTAGCCGGTTTCCCTGCAATGCCTCTCAGGTACGTAGTCTGGTGCACTTGTTTAGGGATTAACAGTCAAGTACTGATGCGTTGGCTCCCACTTCATGCTAGCTTGCAACAGAAGATTTTGTGTTGCAGTTCATTGGCCAGATGCACCAAACTATATACAAGTCCTCAACTTGAATTATTAAAACAATATGTATTTTGATCAAGGGGCTTATAATAAAGGCTTGTTTATGCAGTATAAATGCATTGTTTCAGGAGCTGTGACATGTAAAGTAGGAAAATATTTGTAGTGGGTAAAACAATAAACTTTAACTTCTTCTGTATCAAGAAGTTTTCCTTCCTGTCATCAGACTGTGATGAGACCAGGAACCTTCATGACTGCCACCTCTGGCTGGCTTTGCTATTACCTCTGTCTAGTTCAAATGTCATCCAGCTAGATTTACAAACTAGAACTTGGTCTCCATCTCTCTGGCCCTCCATGTAGCTGGTCTTCGAACTGGACTCAGAGAAGAGGGCTCAGGTCACCTGCAACCAGATCATGATCCAGATTAACGACCTCCAGAAGGAAGTCACCATCCTCCACAATCTCCTGTTCCAGGTCAACACACACACTAATGTTGGTCTTACCTATACTTGTGAGGATACTTGTTGACATAATCCATTTCCTAGCCCCTTACATGAGGACTGGCCAAAATGTCCTTGGCAGTGGTGGTAGCAAAATGTACACAAATACATAAACTTGTAGCTTGAAGCTTGTACTTCTGCTACATTTCCTAATTTTAAAGCCGATGACCTCCTTTGACCTAATAAGTCACAAAAATGAAACCACGTAGAAAAACACATTGTAAAGTAGAATATTTTACAGATGATCAATAGTATTTATATGGTTAAACATTGGCAGTGATCTCCTGATTCAGTTCTATCAGTTCGCAAGTCCAGATTGTCCATTTTAATGAGTGAGCAGACTAAGATTTTGCCCTATGTGTGATCAGTGTTATTAAATCAATCAATCAATACATAGCTGAAGCATCTGCTACTGACAGTCCTTGTGTAGCCAAATGGAACAGCATTCATGAGCATGCTCATGAGGAGCATGTGCAACATTAGTACGTATCTGTTGTAACTGAATCATCAAGAATCGAATCATCTACACTGTGTTGTGTTTAGCTGTAATGACAGTAACCCTAATTTTAGAAAAGGAACAGTAAATATAGCTGAAACTTGCATGTAAATGATAATTTTAACTAGCAATGTGAAAGTATTACTAATAGTAAGAACAAAGTGAATGTACATAAAAACAGCTACATGGACTGTAATTTGTTTTTCCATCTGTCAGCCTTGACACTGAT